CATATATTGGGCCTCACATATATATAACGCCCAATTCATATGATGCACCCTGAGTAAACTTAAAATAAAAGAGAACTCCTTTTGGGGTTTGTTAAATATAGTTTTATAATATTTTTTGTTAAAACTGTTGTCAAAAGGTGCAGAAATCATTGGTTATATTTGCAACGAACTTTAAAATAGGGTCTAGCAAACCTTTAACTATTTGTTTAAAAATTCCTCTAAATATTTCATATCCTTTATTCATTTTCTTGAATCCTTAGATCCCTTAATATACTATACCCATGGCTCTCTGAAATTCCTGAAATTCCAGAAATTCTCGATTTTTCGGCCCATTTACACTGTGCAGCAATGCAGTTGGTTCGGGACTTGGTCAGCTGCTGCTTCTGCCCTGTTTTACATAGGCTTGGGCGTTTGTCATAGCAACAACAATAATCAGAACGACATTGGGGGAGGTGTAGCAACAACATAAACACGGGAAACGGAAACGGACAAGAGAAGGCGGCTGCAGGAGGGAATGGGGATATGGGATAATGGTGGGGTTTACGAGGTGTGGGGCGTCGGCCATTCCCGGTCCTTGTTGACGTCAGTCATAGAGCGTGCAAATGTTGACCTACATACAAAACTTTGAGCAAACAGGCGCATAAATGCCACGTTAAACAACAGCAGCAGGAACATCAGCAGCAACGTCGCGCAGTGCAGATAAGTCCGCCTTTTTGCCCAGCTGCCAACGCATTGTTAGAAATTGTCGGAGGACATGGCCAGCCGGCATAGTTAATAGCCCATAGACATAGTCACCGACATGGCCATAGCCAAAGCTATAGTTTTGCATATATGCACTGGCAAAATCGAGAACATTCCAAGGGGGCAAAAAATTTCAGGAATTTTATGGCCAGAACTAAAAATATTTAAAAAACTATCTGTTGTAGTTAAGTGTTGCAATTGCCACTTCAAGCAAAATCATAAATATTGAATAATTAAATATTTTATTTATAAATGTAACTATCTTCGAGCTAAGAGGTTATATAGCATTTATTTCTCTAGAAATTTTGTGTTATTTCTGGTGGTAACATTTAATTTTCCTACCATACTTCGCAATTATATAAAATTACATTTTCTAAAACTATCTAGAAACTTTCTCTAATTTGTTTTCCGTGAACTGTTGCCTTTGTTATTGTTTTTAATACTTACCAGCATCATAATTGTTATGTAGATTTATAGAATTGGGTTGACTGGCCAACGGTGACCGGTCCCTAGCATCGGATATGAACCAGCCCCATTTGAATGCATCCAAACAATGCCTCTCTACCCCTCCATTGTGAGCCAAGAAACGAATGACCAACTGAACTGAATAGACTAGAATTTTATGGGATGAGACTCGGAAGAAGTGTCTCCCTTTTTCGAAATTTACAGCGCCGCCGGGGAGTTTCCGCTTTTTGGCACGATGCATGTAACCATACAGAGAGAGTGGCCAAGGCAGCTGGTCTGCCTACCAGGCTCCACCTGGCCAGCGACTACTCCACCATGGCCAGGTCTAATGATGACGGAGTGGGGCGAGTGGTCTCTGAACAGTGGCCATAACGGTTGACGCTTCCCTGGCCAACCAGTGTTGTTTTTGCTCCCTGTAACTGCTCCTGCTCCTGCTTTGGCTCCTGTTAGCGCTCCTCCCTCCGTGTGTAGATACGCATTGGCAGTTAGTCAGTTTATCAGTTAGTCAGTTTGTCATTCCAGGCAACCAACAAACAAACATGCTCTCGCTGCTTGAGCCAAAGAGTGTAGCCGATGTTGGGGCAGAGCTGGCTTTCGAAAGGATCAAAGCTTTAAATACTCTATCGTTAAATAATGAAACATTAACAAAAAGGGAAGCTAACTTAGGCACGAAAAAGTTTATTATTTACAATTTTACATTTACCGCCATGTATTTCCCTCTATTTTTAACGCTCGTTTATATAGCAGCTATATGATATAGTGCCCGATTTTCATAAAATTGTACACAGAATTCTTGACTTAAATATATTGGTTATAAATAGAACTTCATATGTTCTAATTTTTTTCTTAAAATGTTCCTATCGTTCCTATGTCAGCTATATATACGTATATATATAGTCCACCGATTCGCCATGCTTTTACTAGTATGTACTAGTAAAATTATATAAAAAATTAACTCCATAGTTTCCTTCAAATACCTTGCTTTTAAATTTGTCCCAAAAACAAATCTCGCACATCTGCACATATGATTCCCGACTGGTTCAAACATCCCTGCTGCCGGCCAAGTCTCAGAAATGTGTTGTGTTACAAAAGTTGCAAGTCATTGTTTATTAGTGTTTAAAGTTAGTAACTGATCGTACATACTTACTGGTCATAGATACTTACCGATCAGAGTTTCTTACTGCTCATAGCTACTTAATTAAATAGCTCGCTGTTTCTCTCCGACTCTCCCCCTCTCTCTGTATGCATATCGCTCTATGTTAGTCTCTAGAGGCAACTCTATTCTCCCGCCCACTCACACTCACTTTCTCTGCTCCACTCTCTCCTCGGGGACTATAAATAGAGGCGCTGAGGTCGCGCGCGCCTCAGTCTGTCCTAGGGGTACCTAGTGTTAACATCGGTAGTGATAGTGCAAGTGATCACCCTTTGAGACCAAAAATATGACGTGGCCAATGCAATGCATCTGGATGACCAGGATGAAGTCACCCAATCTTGGTTACTACACTGGAAGGAAGTAAGCAATGACGAAAGAGCCACGTGTCCTCTACTGCGGTAAGTCTTAGCCATGACTTGTATATTATTATATTATTACATTATAATATTATATTCCAATTAATGGTCCCCTTTACATACTTAGTGGTCATAGATACTTAATGTTCAGACTTATACAAGAGTGAGAGTATATAGATGACTAACTGTTAGCATTGAAATCACAAGGACTCTATATTTTGAAAGGGTAAAAACCAGGTTTGTTAACAAACACAGATACACAAAACGCATACCAGGATAAAACTCAATGAGTCAATGACTTTTTGGTGTCGCTCGTTGATGCGCAACGCGGTCCCGTTGTCATTAGCAGCGACACCCGGACCGGCACCGCCTCTGCCACTGCTGCTGATGCCACAACCACTGCCAACAAGGACGACAAGGACACCGTCACGCTCACAAATGCAAGTCACAATCACTCACACACTCACAGTGCGAGGCACTCATGAATATGGTTACTGTTGCCATGTTTTTTTTGTGTGTTGCCTGTATTTGGTGTTTTGGGCTGATTCGTTGTCGGTGTTGCTGTGGGAAATGCGAGCGGGTCCAAAATATGTACATTTTTGGCAGCCAAACAAACACGTTTTTGGCTTATGTTTTATTGTTGTTGCCTTTGTTGCGGCTGCGGCTGCTACTGCGGCTTTTGATGCCGTTGTTGCGGCCGCTGTCCTTGGCGCTGTTGCCTAATGTGTGCCAACACCATCATCACCAGGCAGTAGCAGCCAGGCCCCAATCACCCAACCACCATAGTCGCTTTTTACGCATTCACGCGTCCTAAAACAAGAAATTGGCCAACGACAAATGTCCCAAAAAAAATGAATGCACTGCGAGAAAAATGTGATTTTTAAATAATATTTTTTCGACTGAAACAAACTGTAAATAATAGCAATATAGTATGAATATATAACTTTTTACAACTAAATAAAGTAATGATATTAATTTCAAGAGAAATATGCTCAGGAAAGTTCCAGAAACATTGAACTAAAATGATAAACTATTTTTATGTTATCCTTAAGCAACAAGAACCATATTTTGTTATATAATCTTTCACAACAATCACTAGAAATATTTTTTATTAGTGCCTCCAATTTGGAATTGCGCATTATTAGGCTAAATATTATGAATCTTGGCAGCTTTCACACTGCTCTGGTGTTTGTGGCTGTTCTTTTTTTCCCCCTGGAAACGAGTATTTGCCCCGCCTTGTTGGCCATAATTTCCCCTGATGCTCATTAGCAGGGATGGCCAAAAAAAAGTAAAATAAAATAAAAATAAAAGTAGACAACATTTATGCGACGACAGGAAGGGACTTAAGTGTGAAATTGCTTTGCATAATGCCAAGTAAATTATGGGGGCAAATATTGAGTCCATTAACTGGGTTGCCAGAAACCGAATGCTGCCGAATGCCGGCAAAGTTAATGAGTTATTTTCAAGAGCCACCATCTATATAGGATGCTTGATTAATTGAAAGTAAATGAGATTTGTTGACTCACTCCGGGCACGATGAGGGAGACATCAACATGATGCCTAATCTATGCCAACGAAGATGTAGCTGGTCGAAATAATTGAAACATTGAGCCAGGCACTCACGCATGTGGCTAAGCCACCACCCAGGCCCCAGTGGCACCCAGTTTTATGGCCAACCGCCCAACTGGCCCGGTCCAGTGTAAACACAGCTGTTCGAGGGACTCGTGCTCGCAGGCCTCGTGCCTAACCACAGACAACAAACGCAGTCGTGCGGCGCAGGCGCAGAGAGTATCGCATCCCATCATGGACGGGGCTGCCAACTGCACTGCTGAAAAACCATGACTTTGGTGGCATCCGCTCCCAACCGGGTCCGGCAGTTGCTGTTCGAGGCTCGAAGGATACGCACGGCTCTGGCGGACGACGGAAATTGGACTGAAAATGTATCGCGACTGAGTTTGAGTGAGCGCGCGCGTGTGGTGAATTTCCGGCGGTGAAGAGAGTCCGGAAGAGAGCCGACAAGGGTCCGACGGCGTCCCTAGAAGAGCTCCTCCAAACACAGTTCGGTGCGAGGCGCAGTCAAGTCGAGTCCTTGCTGGAAGTCGGTTGTCCTGGCGGGAGTGATTTCATATATCGAACGTATGGCATAGTGCGCCGGCCATGCAGTCCCACAAAACATAACAAAACACCATCAAATCATCAGCGAAAATCATCCAATCACCAGAGTGAAAATATCAAAATAAATAGAGAAAGATTCGAATGTGCCAAAAAGAAAAGTATATTCAAATTAAAAGAGAGAAATATCAAGTGTCTGAAATGTAAAACCGCTCAAGAGTGAAAGCCAAATCAAATCAAAATTTTTGTACAAGTCACTGCCCCTACACGGAGATTCCTGAAAAAGCTCACAGCGAGAGAAGAAAAAATAGATAAATAAAAGCGCATAAGTAAAACCACGACCAAATTCAAATCAAAATCGGAATCAAAACAGAAGCCGGAAAACATGTGGATTAGTAGCCGCTTTTTCGTGATTTTCCTGCTCCTTCATATCGGTAGGTGCTCCACAGTTCGCCGGGAAAACTCTTAAGCCGGCCTGCCGGCATTTTCGGGGGCGCCTTTTCTCGGGTTTTCCTAAGTCGCTTGGCACGCGCTGCAAAGTATGCTTTTGTTTTCGCACACCGGCTGTGCGTGTGGGTCCTTGCACCCTAAGTCCCAACAGCTGTCGGCATGTTGTTCTTCCTTACTTTCTTGTTCGCTTTCGGGATCCTGGCTTACGCCTCCGAAACGGAACTTATTATTAAGTCTTGCGGAGTAAAACAAAAGGATTTTGGGATTTTGCGGCACATCCCAGCCGGCTTAAGGGGGCTTCCTCTTCTCCATGCCATCCTGACGCTTCCAGGAATTATCGTCAGGCAGGGCAATTACTCACTTTATTATCATTCAAAGCGATATTCCAGACTGGCGCAGCTCATGGCGATTCATACGAGGAGGTGGCATAATTTATGATATACGAGAACTAAGTGCAAATGACTTGGTCGCTTTGCGGAGACCAAAGCCAAGACCGGAGACCATAAAACTGCCGGCAAAACTAAAGCCGAAATGCCCCTTCATAATATGAAATTGCCTTATGATAAAAACCAGGCGTCAATTTATGCCACAAGAAACGACTATCCCCCCAGTTCGTTTATAAATATGTGTGCACTAAGAGAAAAGAAGAATTTGTTTGTAAAATAAAAATAATATTCAAGAAGTTGAGGGTCTAAGGATTATGTACACTTCGCTGAAAATATCCTTTAACTATTAAAAAATAATATACTTGATTATTTTAAACTGAAAATAATATTAGGAGCCTAATAAATTTATTGTTGTTGTGTGTAAACTAATTTTCGTTTAACTACTTTTGTCTAATTTTATACTGCTTGCTGGGTAATATATTTTCACTCAGAAGCTTAAAACGTAGTGAAGGAGTCATTTCCGACCCTATAAAGTCTATATATTCTTGATCAGTATCACCAGGCGAATCTTTTGAGCCATCTCTGACCGAAAAAAAAATTTAACATTTTTTCATAAATTTTTAAGGGTTAAAATTACATCATTACAAATTTGAAAAATTGATAAAAATTTAGTTTTTTAAAATATCTAAATACAGTATGCAGATTTATTAACCTAATAAAAACTAACACGGGAAAGCTTTCCGAATTAAAATTATTGCTATTTTGGCTGAGTTATGAGATTTTTAAATTTTGATTTTCCTAAAAATTTTCAGTCAGAGTCGTTCTGGTTGATTTCCATTTTCTTTCAGTGGAATTGATTGTATGTGTGTGCGGGACAGCCTAATGAAATGTGTCAGGAGCAGAGTCCTGGCCCTCGCCCTCGCTCTAACACTCGATCGACCTCACCGACCTCTTCATATTTGCGGAGCCTGGGTTGTGCCGGAGAGAGAACCTTTTTTCGAAATTTGATATTTTCCAATTTTCATTGCCCGGCTCTGGCATTCGATGGGAGACTGACTGGCTTACATGTCTATTCGCCACCCAAAAAAAAAAAAAAAATGGAAAATATGAAAAAATATTATCAAAATGCCACACAGATATTTCATGATTGCCACACCACAAGGAGCATACATATATATGTTTTCGCACCCTCGCACCGAGGCTCCGAGACTCGGAGCAAATGAAAAATATGCAAATGAAATTGTTGCTCAATGTCCAAAGCGCACACACACTTTTTGCTCTGTGGCTCTGGGCTGTGAGAGATGGCTCATATTTTTCGGTGTTGTTATTCCATTTCCAAGCAGATAAACATAAAATATAATACGTTTTATAAAATCAGCACCGACAACAACAACAGCTACGAAGGGAAATCCGATTAGATTGTGGAGCTGGATGGAAAGAAAAAAGGGTCCTGGAAAATTCTGATGGGAAAATTATGAAAAATTATGGCCAACGGCAAAGTTTGCAGCGCACTATGATTGATTAGGTTTTAAACCGTTTATGACAAACGCTTTAATTTGTTGTAGGATTAATGAAGTGCAAGGGATAAAGTTTAAATTAAATGCTCACCAGATGTTGGAGCAAACTTCACGAAGGAACCTTATTTTCTGTAATTCTGGTAGAGAAATATTATTAATGACTTAACCTAGCAAAGTAAAAGTTTCTTGAAATTGTGCTCAAACGATAAATGAAGTTTTTGTTCAATGCTTTGAGGGCAATTTTGTAATTAAAAATTAAATTTAGAAGGTTTCAAGGAAAAGCTTGAGGTACTATTACCTTAGAACTGTTTTTTCGGACAAAGCATTAACTGTTTAATAAATTTCTACATAGATAAGTGATAAAATTCCTAACAATATCCTTTAAATATTTAATTTAAACTCTAAGAGATTCCGCTTATAGTGTTCATAAAAAACAACTCTGGCAATATTAAAATCTAAAAATACTTTCATCTATAGACTTTGTTAAATTTCGTCTTGGATTGGTTTGGATTTCCCAATGATTATGTAGCTGGGGCCGGCTGCTCAAGATCCGGGGGTTGAAAATTCGTGGTAAATTGTTCGCACAACAGGCCGTGGCAAGAAGTTGACTTTTGTTGGAGGTGGTGGTGAGACGCACGTCTGGTTTATTTGACTTCACATATGTAACTCTTAAACCTAGCTTATAGAAATAACTCCGCGCTCATGCTTACAGAGCTTTGGAAAAAACGAGAACGGGAGTGCAGCGGCGATCGGCATATCGCGGTCCCGAACCTAGTTTTACAGAGCCGAGATCGGGTTGCTAAGAGCGGTGCTCTTTGTTCCGCTCTGCCCGGCGGCCGTATAGTGGCTCCTGACCTGAACATTCCGGCCCCCCTTGCAACCATACGGGTTGCAACTTGATCCGCTGCTCCTCATGACTGGTGGCAGGCTCCGGACAGGACCCAGCCAAACACTGTGCTTTGAGCTACCGGTAGTCCGTCCTGTGCCTTGAGGAAACCTGGCTGCATCACCTTCGGATACACGTCCGCACCAAGGACCACGGAGATTGTCGCCGGGAGATAAAAACGGTCATCCGCCAATGTGATGTCTCGAAATTGAGCCCGCAAGCTCTCGCTCAGCGCACGGATTGGAGTGCGGACCCGCACGTGCGGCTCAATTTTGAACAGGAGATTTAGCCGGAGATTTGCATCCACTTTCGACCCCACGACGGCCGAACAAATCTGCTCCCCACCCACGTTGGTCGTCGGCAGGCGGAAGCATCTAGCCAGCGAGGCGTCGATACAGCTCGTCGGTGTGCATGGGTCGATGAGAGCCGTAGTATCGAAGACTCGCGTCCCGGTGTCGATCCGCACTGCCGCCGTCGGAAGGACGTTTACGCTGTGCCGCTGCAGCAGTGACGACAATGACGGCGCCATTGCCGGGTCGGCAGCGCTTCGTGAGGTGACCGCCGCGTCCCGAGGAACGCTAGGAGCAGACTCACGTGCGGTGAACGTTGGCCGGGGCGCGGTAGACGAACGCCGAGAGGACGGAGACGCCGGTCGATGTGACTGTCGGCGAGGTGCCGGACGCTCGCGCATGTGCAACAATGTATGGTGATCCTGCTGGCACACCTTGCAAAGATCACCCCGGCGGCACGCTCCATCGGAATGCTCGTGAGCCAGACAATTCGCACAGTAGCGGTTGGCGAGCACAGCGCGGAGCCTCTTCTCCACACTCAGCCGAAGAAAACGGCGACACTTCCGTAGCGGATGGACTCCATGGCAGACTCGGCAGCGGTAGGAATTTATCCCTCGAGTTCGTCTGCTCTCAAGAACGGCGGCACTGCGTGGACGTGGAGACATGTTGCTTTGATCTGCTTGACAGGATAATAAAAAACAGAATTAGTAGGAGGTAGCGGTAGGACTTAGACTAGGGGGCGCGGAGATCTATGGATTTAGGATGAGACTAGTCATTGCGGCCGATTGGCGGCTACCCATGGCAGCAGGACGACCTTTGCGACAGGGCGCTTAACGAAACCTCGAGCAGTGCGAATGGTCACTACTCTGACATGACCGTCTGGTCCGGGAGACACCGCATCGACCCTGCCGAGCCGCCACTCATTGGAAGGCAGGTTGTCGTCCTTGATGACAACCATATCGCCCACGGCCAGGTTCTCTGTGGGTGTTTGCCACTTATTGCGTTTATGGAGCTCCTTGAGGTACTCCTCTTTCCACCGCAGACGAAATTGCTGATGGATAGCCTTAAGGTGCTGCCACCGGTTGATTATAGAAGTCGTGGCACCCTTTATTTCAGGTTCTGCGATGGCGAGGAGGGGCCCCCCGACAAGAAAATGCCCCGGCGTGAGTGCCAGCAAATCGGTGGGGTCCTCGGACATTGGAGCGATTGGCCGCGAATTCAGGCAGGCCTCGACCTTGGCGAGAAGCGTGGAAAGCTCTTCGAAAGTGTATTTTCGAGTGGCTGTGGACTTATAAAACAGGGTTTTGAAGCTCTTGACTCCAGCTTCCCACAAACCCCCCATATGGGGCGCTCCCGGAGGAATAAACTGCCACAAAATCTGCTGGTGACTATAGGCACTCGTCACTGACTCCTTCAATGCCAGCAGAAATTCCCTGGACAACACCACGGCTGCCCCAACAAAGGTTTTCCCATTGTCCGACTGAACTTGGCGCGGACACCCTCTCCGGGACACAAAACGCGAGAAGGCTGCGAGAAATTTCTCGGTAGTCAGATCGGATGTGGGTTCCAGATGGATTGCCTTTGTAGAAAAACACACAAACACTAGCACATACCCTTTCGTAACGAGACAGGCTCGTCCGGTGTAGTTTTTAATATCGAAAGGGCCCGCATAATCCATGCCTGTATATGTAAATGGACGCGAAAAGGATGTCCGCTCCTTGGGCAATTCACCCATGAGTTGGGTCTGTAATTTCCTTTTGTGGATCACGCATACCTTGCAGGAGAAGATTACGGACTTGACCAGATTCTTTACCCGGGGTATCCAAAAATTCGCACGGATCAGCCGGACCATCAGTTGATTACCGCCATGCAGCGTTATCCGGTGCGTAAAATGTACGAGGAGAC